AATCTGTATGACTTTTATCTGCTCATTTGAAGTCTACAGTAATATTTTGGAGACTGTATTTGAGAGTGGCTCTCTGGAAAGAAGGAAAAACTTTCTTTAATAAATGAGTAAGTAAATGAAAAAGAAGTATTTTCATATTTACAGAGATTGTAAAGGCATGAAGAACCTTCAACTTAATGGAGAAGTTAGTTTGTTAGAGAAACATTGTCACTGTCTTCAGTCTTGCATAAGATGCATGGCAGCAGGTAAAGTGTGATGTGTTCTTCCATTCTTCCCCCTGGCTTAAAACGGATCTCTTTTGAAGCACAGGGTGAAAAAGCTTCTAGGGGCTTGGCACAGTTGGTGTTAGCACTTATGTTTCATTCTGAGGTTACATGCCAATTACTAATATCAAGAACAGTGTGAATTTTTCATGGTGCTGTTTATTTACAGGGTATTGGTGGGCTTGCTACTTCCAGTTTACAAAACCTGTGCAAATAATATCAATCTGACAATGTTACTTTCCTACATTTTAATGTGTTCAAAATATTTAATGAATCAAGTGAAAGCAACAAACTTACCATAGTGTGTAATAACTATTTTTCTGAATGTTAGGAATATTTGCAGGTGGTGTTTTTTCGTCATCCTTTAGCTCCCTAATTGAAGAAGCTTTGTCAAACTGTGTTCTCTAACAGCTGGTAGATTTCCTCTTTAAAATGTCCGTATCAAAGAAGTTAGATTACATGCTTTGTGGTAGGGATGCCCAATGTGTTAAGTATTTTATGCTGAGATAAGGGAACTTGGGTATCTGTGAAATTTGAGGAATAAGAAATGTATGCAGCTTTGTCCCATCTTCAATTTTCCATTTGTTCATGACCTGGGAAGCCATGTCCCTTTTCCCTCTCGCTCTGCTTCTGCCATGAGTCAGTTGTCTGGGTACTGGCCACAAAATGGGAAAAGCAACATACAGTGCTAAAGCTTAAAGGTGTCTTAATGAGTTATACGTCTCCTGGTGTAATTCCTTTTGTGTAGATTGGCTTCTGGAGCTAAGCCTTCCTGCTTCAACCTATTTTGGTGCCTTGGTTAAAATCATGCATTCCTATCCGTGTTCATCAAGTATATATGCCTTGCAGACAGAAGGCTTATACCTGCGCCTTGCGTACAAATCTTCAGTCATGAATACTTTACATTAGTCCTCCAATGTCATGTTTAGGAACCTAAATGTCCTGATTTGATGCAGCGTTGAAAGCTTGTAGCTCCTGATGGGCTTTGCTGAATGAACCCATTGCACTTGGTTGATCACAGCTAAGTAGCAAGCTAGAATGTGTGCTCCCAGCAGTCAGGGAATGTGCTGCTGGTGTCAGAAGGGAAAAACCTCTAAGTATGTCCCCAGCCAGAAACAAATAGATTAAATAGCAGATGCAGCTTCTGGATGCTCTGAGTTCTGACTCCCAGCAGTGTGTTACAGAACCTTCGAGAAAGATGACAGTGCTGAGAGTATGTGAAGATCAGGCTTTGATTTTTTTTTTGAGCATCTTAACTGTAGTCACCTAAGTTTCAGAACTGTAGTGCTTGGAAAGCAGTACTCAAGTCTGTTCGATAAAATTGTATTCTCAGAGAGAGTTGTCTTCCCAGAGTCCTACCCATGAGAGCCGTTCCTGGTACATGAGCATGAGCTCTGTAACCAGACCTGGGAGAACATGTTTTGAAAGAGCAGGAGCATGGGCAAACCCTGAGCCACGAGAGAGACTTTTCTCTTGGTATTAGGTTTACTTTTGAATTTCCTAGCTTATGCTCGTTTTTATTTAAGTCATAATGGTTTAATGATTATGTGCACAATTTTTTCAGGCTGAATGATTCTAAACATTAACCTATGTAGACAGTTACAATATTAAAAAGGGGGAAAAGACGACTGTATGAGATTTACAGTGGAAACAGCCAGTTCTGATAGAAAGCAGCAAACATTTTCTGGCATATCTACTGGAGGAACTGAAAAATATTTTTTTACTTATGCCTGTATTTCTTTTTCCAGCTGCAATGTAGATTAGGTACGGGGAGGGAAGGAACCCAGGCTTGCAATCCTGTAGCTGACTTTATGGGTCAGTTGTTAGGAGGTAAATTTCCAGCCTCACTAACCTTGAATGTCTCTTAGAACAGAGAAGAATCCCTTGATGCTGCAGATAGACCACATTGGGAGGAGAGGGAAAAGAAAATATTTTTTGTTCCTAAGTTTCTAGGAAACTAATTGAAAATGCACATGAGGAAATTATGTTTAAATTATCCAGAAGCTTTTGGGGGAAGGGAGAAAGAATTTGTGTACCTGGCTCTTAAATGCCAGGTAGAACATATGTACATTTTTATGATCAGAATGGTAAGACTTTCAGACACATACACAGATTACTTCTAAGGCTGTAGATTTGATTGGGTTGTTTCAAAGTCAGAGCTTCTGTGACATTTAATCACCAAAATCTTGGTTTTTTTCCTTGACAATAAAATATGGAAATAAATTCCCATAACAACGAAGTCTTTAAAGTGAGTGTAGGGGCATATTGAGTTAATAAAGGCAATGAAGGAGCAGGGGAAAAGAGAGAGTAGAATTGTATCGAGTCTCTGTAAATTCTTTCCCAGAAAACAGGACTTTGGAGGTTATGGATAAATTTTTTGCATGTTTTAGTCTGCACATTTTAAAAGTATCCTGGGCAGTTTGTACTGCTGTAGAGCACAATGAATCCTGCATCAACAGCAGTGTTTATTTAGTAGGGATTGGGAGTTTACAGTTTATTTTTAAAATGTACGTTTATTGTGGTTCTATCTCTTACTTGGAGACTTTTCTCCTTAAAAGACATTATTAGAAGTGGCAAAACACCGCCACAAAATAGCTCTCATGAGTTTTAAAGGGGAAGCAATGCCAGGTTTTTTTAACTTTATTTCTTGGTTCTTTGGACTACTTATATATAGCATTTTTGGCTTTTTGTAATTTGAAATCTGTGGAAAGTCAGCATTAGCAATTTTGTAGAGTGATTTTTTTCTTGTTTGATTTTTTTTTTTAAAACGTTATATACTATTACCTCTTTTGACCTGAGCTGTTAACCAAGATCTTGGCATTTTGTGGGTAATTCTAGTTGAGAATATGGATTAAAAATATACCTGGTTCCATGATTGTGCAATCCTGTTTATTTACAAAGAAAATTCTAAGTATAATTTCTTCCAGAGAAAAAAGTAACCAACTGTAGATTCACAGATTCACAGAATGGTCAGGGTTGGAAGGGACCTCTAGAGATCATCTAGTCCAACCCCCCTGACAGAGCAGGATCACCTGGAGTAGATCACACAGGAACAAGTCCAGGCGGCTTTTGAAAGTCTCCAGAGAAGGAGGGTCCACCACCTCTCTGGGCAGCCTGTTCCAGTGCTCTGTCACCCTCACAGGGAAGAAGTGTTTCGTCATGTTCAGGCTGACCCTTCTGTTTTCCAGTTTATGGCCACTGCCCCTAGTCCTGTCACTGGACACCACTGAAAAGAGCCTGGCCCCATCCTCCTGACACCCACCCTGTAGATATTGATAAGCATTGATGAGATTCCCCCTCAGCCTCCTCTTCTCCAAGCTAAACAGACCCAGCTCTCTTAGCTTTTTCTCTTATGGTAGGTGCCTTATCACAGTTTTAATTCCCTTTCAGCTAGCATTGTAGAGCTCCTTCTTGCATATTAATTGAAGGGAAGGTTACCTGCATAATATATATCTTTACCTTGTATCCTTTGCTCCTTCTCTGATCTCTTACTGATTCACATACCTCTCTGTCATGTGGAAAAAAAAAAAATCCTACAAAAACACCCCAAACCAAAACATACAACCTTAACTGAAAAATCCACCCTAACATAAACAAAAAAACCTCATCCCAATCAAAATCCAAAAACACCCTTAAAATGAAGAACACCCCATCCCATTGTTGTGGTTTAACCCCATCTGGCAACTAAGCACCATAAAGCTGCCTGCTTGATCCCTCCCCCCTGCTGGGATGGGGGAGAGAATGAGAGGAGTAAAAGTGAGAAAACTCTTGGATGGAGATACAAGACAGTTTACATGCACATCTTTTGTTTTATCTATTAAGCAAAGCAAAACAAGGAAATTATTCACCACTTCCCATGGGCAGGCAGGTGTTCAGCTGTCTCCAGGAGAGCAGGGCTTCACCAGACGTAATGGTTGCTTGGGAAGACTAATGCCATCACTCCCAGCATCCCCCTCTTCCTCCTTCTTCAGCCTAATATTCTGAGCATGATATCATATGGTATGGAATATCCCTTTGGTCAGCTGGGGTCAGCTGTCCTGGCTGTGTCCCCTCCCAGCTTCTTGTGCACCCTCAGCCTACTCTCTGGCGGAGCACTGTGAGAAGCAGAAAAGGCCTTGACTTGGTGTAAGCACTGCTCGGCAGTAATGAAACCATCCCTGTTTTATCAACACACTTGGCAGCACAAATCCAAAGCAGAGCCCCATACCAGCTACTATGAAGTAAGTTAACTCTATCCCAGCCAAAACCAGAAGACCCACCTTCTGTCCATGCATCTTTGTTCTAGAAGTGACATCTTTTCCTTGGAAGAAGAAATTAATTGATTATTTTAGTCAACGTTTGTAAAAAATCTTAGTGGTAAGAAACTCTTATCTCAAGTTAGATCTGTACCATACTTGCACAGTTAGTGATAATGGTATAATGTGAAAGTATTCAAGCTACTTAAGGGACCTTACAACTGTACAAACTACAAAAATGGGTCTAAAGGCAAGGTAAGTAGGTGGGTTCTTTGGCTGCTTGATACTAGATTGGTATTAGTGCACAAAGTTTAAAGTTGGCCAGGCAGGTACATATATACTACTCATGGTTTGACCAGAGTGTTTGGGCCCTCCTTTTGTCAGGACACCCTGTAGTAAAGTAACAGCATTGTCATCATCTCAGGCCTTCCAAAATCAGAAGGAAGTCTTGATAATTTAGGTAAACATTAACTTCAGAAAGTTTTAATTTTCTTTCTGTTTTACAAATCTACAAAGTAATTATTTTCAGGATTTCGTAGTCCGGAAGCTTGAAAAGGGAGAAGAAAATATCCTTACATGATGAAAACTGTGCTTCTCACTTGATTTTGGGGTACTTGAAGGCAAAACTGTGAGCTGGCTGCAGCTGTGGCAAATTATGTGATCTCTAAACAGTCCCACCTTTTCCTTGCAGTTATACTTCAAGTATTACATGTAACCCAAATTTAAAACAAACAAAAAACAAACCAAAAAAACACCACAAAACTACAGTTCATCTATGTTCATATTTTAATATGTCTCTGTTGAAGATGTGCAGTTTCTAAACACAACTTTAAAAACCACGTCTCTTTTAAATCCATGAATTTTCAGTGTAGAAAATTGTTTTCATTCCATCGTATACAATGATAGATATGATATTATATTAGCTCTGGATCCTTGCAAATAACTGCTTCTACCTTGGCACTGCCCCGCTCACGATATGGTGTGTTGTCAGCAATCTGTGATTGCACAGTAGCAAAAAGGTTGATGTGGCCTTGTGCTCTCAGGTTGGTCTCCAAGACGGCAGTATCCAGATGGCCCCTCTGTGCTCTGATAATCACCCCTGGAATCATCAGGTGAAATAATGAAGATACGGATGTCAGTGTAGCTTCTTCACTGAGATCTGCTTTGTTCATATTTGTGACTGCAAATCTGCATCAAATAAGGAAGTGATATATTTGTGTAATAGCTAGATGGCATAGATCTTTTTCAGTTATAGCCTGGTTTCCTGCTAGAAATAAATGTTCTGAAATGATAACCTTTTTCTGAAGCAGCAGTGATTTAGGTTTATTAATGAAGAGAATATTCTCCGACATAGTTGTTAATGCTCAGTGTTATTAGCTTCAGGTCTATACCAATCCTAATAAAAGCCCCCCCCCAAAAAATCCTCTATATATTCTAATGGAGGAGTTTCAGCACCTGCTTAAGTCCAATTCTTTGTACTAGCTGCTTAAAGTGTAAGGAAGAAAGGGAGAAATGAATAATGATGCCAAAAATGAAGAATTTATTGGAAAGCTGAGTGAATGATATGGAAGCCAAAATTTAGGAATCTATACAGGCTGAACATTCCTATATTAATCAGAAGAGCTGTTCTTGTCAGCCAGAGGATGCAGCACCTGTTCTCTATCCTTATTGCAGGCAGTGTGTGTATGTTTTCTTATAAGTTTTGGCAGACTAATGAAAAGTGAAATTTTATAAAATCTTATTTGATGTGTGACCTTGCATTCTGTGGCACTTGATGGTTATCAACCAATATACAGCTTCACTGGGGTAATAGATTCATGTTTTAGCAGTTATTTGTTTTACTTGTAGTGTAGCAGACAGCTTCAAACCCTCAGGGGGAACTTTGTAAGTCTGTCAGTCTTTCAGATGGTCTGCTTTGCTATTTCATCCTCTGGACTTGGTTACAGTATTTTGGTTAAATATTCAGATTTATTTTAAGAAAAGGTATTTAAAAAGACCCGAAAACCTACAAAAGAATGTGCATGTCCAAAAGACCATTGCAGACTTAACCTGTTTTGTTATGCCATGCTGCTCAGCATCAACAAACTTCTTCCAATCCTGTTAACGTGAAGATGTGCAACAAAACAGCTCAGAAATTTTCTCACTGCAAGTCCTGGAACTGCATTTTAAAAGCATGTAATTGCATCTTATAACATAGCTTAAGTTTTTGAAACCTTACAGGAAACTGTTTCCTGTGCATTAAAGCAAATAAGTAAATTGTTTTCCATCTTTTTTTCCTATTGGTAATGTTGGTGTTTGTAGAAATTCAAGTACATCATGTTTTCAATACATAGTTTTTTTGTTATCTGATATAGTCTGCAATTACATCTCTGGTACAGCCAATTGTGAATTACATAGGCTGCTTTCAGAAATACAGATTCCTTGTGAAAGCCTTATTAAATGTAAATGTCTAGTTAATATTATCACAACTTCAGCAGTTTTGTACTTGAATGTTATATCCTTATTCTATGTGCTGTCCTTGAGAGTGAAGCCCAACTGGTTTTAACATGGGACTGTAATCTTTTTCTGGATGCGGAGTCCTTGAAGATCATCTTGAACTGTGAAGCAGGACTTCTTGAAGTTCCCACTGACTGGGAAAGTGGAGACAGAACCCCCATCTTTAAAAAGGCAAAAAAGGAGGATCCAGGGAACTATAGGCGAGTCAGTCTCACCTCTGCACCTGGCAAGATCATGGAGCAGATCCTCTGGGAAATGATTCTAAGGCACATGGAAAATGAGGAGGTGATTGGTGACAGCCAACATGGCTTCATCGTGCCTGATGAATATGGTGGCCTTCTACAATGAGGTCACAACTTTGGTAGATAAAGGAAGGATAACTGATGTCATGTACGTGGACTTGTGCAAAGCATTCAACACCACCCTGCACAACATCCTTGTCTCTAAATTGGAGAGGCGTGGATTTGACAGATGGACCACTTGGTGGATAAAAACAGAGGCTCACTCAGAGTTGTGGTCAACAGCTCGATGTCTGAGTGGAGACTGGTGATGAGTGGCATTCCTCAGGGTTTGGTATTCGATCCGGTGCTGTTTAACATCTTTGTCAGTGACATGGATGGTGGGATTGAGTGCAGCCTCAGCAAGTTTGCTGATGACACAGTTTGGTCCAGTTGACACGCTGAAGGGAAAGGATGCCATCCAGAGGGAGCTTGACAGGTTGGAGAGGGGCCTGTGCCAACCTCATGGAGTTTAACAAGGCCAAGTGCAAGGTCCTGCACCTGGGTTGGGGCAGTCCCAAAACCAAGTACAGCCTGGGCAGAGAATGGATTAAGAACAGCCCTGAGGAGAAGGACTTGGGGCTACTGGTAGATGAAAAGCTGGACATGCGCTGGCAGCACAGAAAGCCAACCGTATCCTGGGCTATATCAGAAGTGTGGCCAGCAGGTCGAGAGAGGTGATTCTCCCCTTCTACTCTGCTCTTGTGAGACCCCACCTGCAGTACTACGTCCAGCTGTGGAACCCTCAAAGCAAAAAGGTTATTGATCAGTTGGAGTGAGTCAAGAGAAGACCACAAAGATGGCCAGAGGGCTGGAGAACCTCTCCTGTGAGGACAGGCTGAGAGAGTTGGGCTTGTTCATCCTGGAGAGAAGGCGGCTCCAGGGAGACCTTATAGCACCTCCCAGTACCTGAAGGGGCTACAAGGAAGATGGGGGGCGGGGGGGGAGAATCATTTTACAAGGGCCTGTAATGACAGGACGAGAGGTAATGGGTTTAAATTAAAAGGGAGTAGATTAGGATTGGACATCAGGAAGAAATTCTTCATGGATAGGGTGGTGAAGCACTGGAACAGGTTGCCCAGCGATGTTGTGGATGCCCCCTCCCTGGAATTATCCAAGGCCAGGCTGGATGAGGCTTTGAGCAACCTGGTCTAGTGCAAGGTGTCCCTGCCCATGGCAGGGGGGTTGGAACTAGATGGTCTTTAAGGTCCCTTCCAACCCTAACCATTCTATGATTAATTTTCAAAAGTTGTTGTTCATATTTTGTTTTTTTTTTCTTTGATATTTGTTGGTCTAATAAAAGCTGCCCTTATGACATGCTTAAGCCATCATAGGAGCAGCTCTACTTGTATGTGGGAAACAATGACATTTTTCCTGGCTGTGAAAATAGTTTGAAAAGTAGTTCTGATATTACTTATACTAAACTGGTTTTTTTTTGAATGAACAAATGTGTTTTCAAGATCCTGCAAGTTCTCACACATTTTGCTTTGCTTGGTATGTGACCATGTTTTCTGAGTGTGTAAGCCGTGAATGACTGAATTCAGTGAGGGAGTATCTAGACATACTTCCCTAAAAATGGGAGGCCGGTGAAACAAGATCTAAACTGTCGAAGCCTTGGTAAAAAGGTTTTTTTGTTTTCTGACAACAAACTGCATGGCTTTCAAAGTCCTTATGCAAGATAGTTCTCTTGATACTCTTCAATTTATTGGAGAAATAGCAGAAAAAGGAGACATGAGTCTGTTTTGGGTAGCTTTTCCCTTTTTTTAAGGGAGAAAATAATTCATTTGTTAGAAACTAATGAAAGTAAATCAACATTGGATGGTAAAAAATTTCAGTGGTGCGTAATAGCAGTAAGTAAATCCTAAATGTTTACCTACGGCTGCTTCAGACTGGACATGTTAATTCTGCTATGACTGCCACACAGGTCTGGTTAATCAATTTCCTCATTAAGAATACTTTTTGGGACCTCACTGGACACTAGGAACTTTCCATCTGAAGTTAGTAGCAGCAAGATACTGAAGGATTTTTGTTCTACTAGAATATTTCTCTGATATGGAAGTGTGGGATTGTTGTATATAAGCCTTAATCTGGGAGTTTAGATTTGATTTTTAAGTTTTATGCCTATCTCTAAAAAGCTGTGATATTTTTCACAGCATGCACAAAAAGTATTTGGATGAAGATCACATTGAAATGCTTGGTGCAAAGTCATAATTCCTATTGTTGAATCACAGTTAATCTGCTTTAGCCTATTTAGTTAGGGATTTGATATGTTGCAGGAAAGAATACAAGGTTGCCATAGGGCTGCTTAAATAAGGGAGAAAGTTGTGGGTAAGTGATTGGAAATACCAGGATCATGAGACATGACTTTGTGCCCAAGTAGCATTTTCTCATGAAGTTAACAACTGCTTTTAGTAACAAACAACATTACTTTTGTAAAAGGAAAATAAAAGAATACGTGGACATTTAAGTGTTTCAGAAGAAACCCAAGGGTGGTGAAAACAGAATGATTTAATGGTTGCCAAAGAGAGTGAAGTGAGAGAGACTGTTAGCAGCAAAGGGAAGAATTCATTAGAGACAATCAGGAGGGGCTGAAAAAAGCCCAAAACCCCAAAAAAAAAAAAAAAAAAAACCAAAAAACCCAAACCAAAAAAACGCCCCACTCAAAAAACAACCCACACAAAAGCAGGATGCATTATTTTTTGTCACTAAAATAATTTTCTGAGGATAACAACCCAGTTTGA